AGAGACGGGGACATCAGGGGCAGGGAAAAGGGTACAAGCGTTCCAGGCTTGTACTCTTCATTGTTCAAGTTTATAATGCTGAAAGGTAACTGTTAAAGATAACTGTCCTCCAAACCAACACAGGTCTGGGAGATAATCAAACAATATGTTAAACGGATGTGGTGCAGCCAAAATGGGTCCAGCCTTTTCTGAAAGTGAACCAATCGGTCTGAATATTTCTCTTGCTGGGAGCTGCAGAGCAGCGCTACCGTGGGTTATGCAGACACATTTATGCTTTGGTGCATTAAAAAACGGAACGCTGTGTGACTCCTTTGTTTGTCAGCATCTCCTGTTTCATCGTCCCCACTGGCAACTTGAAATTACTCGGATAACGTAGCGGCAAAAACATTCCCAGATTTTCTTAATCTTCGCCTATGAAAATACTGCATTGTTTTATGTTTTTCTTCAGTGATACTGAAAGGTGTGCTCGGCATTTGCATTACTAGTACCTGCGAGTTGATGCTTATTTGCATAGATGTGTTTAATTCAGGCTGCCGCACAGTCCAACAGTCACTTGAACTTTCTCTTTCTTGTCATTTTAATAATACACTGCTTTGCATTATGTTTAAAGTAACTGAAGAGTGTGGCACAGCTGATTATTGTACACACTTTTGACTGGTTTAAAACGGGTAGATCTACAACATTTTGAGAGGTTTTGAACTAAAGATTAATAAACAGTTGCTGTTTTTTTTTACTCTTAGTTGAATATGATTGATGATGAGGTTATATACTGAAAATTTAGCATTACCAATAATTAAAAAAAAATGCTTCAAGATAAGAACACCCAGCATTTTAGGTTCATGAGGTGGCATCAACCAAACTCCATGTACATTGATGTGGTTTTCTTCAAACTTAAATAATGTAGAGGACGTGTCTGAACTCATGAAGTGATATACTACTGTAGTTCCTTTATTTTCTGTTGGGTTTATAACTCCTTACTCATTTCAAAGAGCCATCATCTTCCTTTTATGTAGTAGAGTTCTGTAAAAACAAAACGACAAAAAACAACAATCTAAATTTGAGTCACCAGGTAAGACCTCAAAGTAATTTGAAAATCAGTATTCAGGGATATCCTGATCTTTGCTTTTCTTGTTGTTTTCAACAACACAGAGTTTTCTCAGACTTCACTTTTAAGGGGCCAGACTTTCTTTTTGTCTTGTCGTTTCCATCAGTAGTTCCACAGGTTTTCTGAAGACCATTCAGGTATTTACTGAGCACTTGCTCAGTAAATAATGCTTTTTCTGCCAGAGAGTTGATTATGAACACTTTAAAAAAAATCACAGGCCTTGGAAACAAAATGCAGACGAATGTGGGATGAATGGAGTTGTGGTATTTGTACTCTATGTAGATTGCACCAATTTACTGAGACATTGTTTGATGTCCAGTGTGCATGCTCAGTTTTGGGACATTTGCACACAGACTCTTAGCTATTATTACTTGTATTGGTCATATCTGTATTTGTGATGACAAAACACCCTCTATTAAAGTAGCTGGGTTCGACTTATTTGTCACACCCAGTTAGCTTTGCACAGGTGCGAAAGGTAAGTTGTTGCAGAGAAAAGAAATATCAGTTTATTAAAAGTAATGTATTGATGTTGTGTTTATTTTCACCACATTCACAATAAAGCTAAGATAAAGGCACCTTATGGTCTCCAGGATCTTCAAGAATTTACAAACATTGATGAATTGCAACAAATTTGGAAAATTCAATGTGGTGCCATGCCTCACTAAACTAATAGGTTTTACTTCCTGCTTCAATGGCCACCCTGCCATGGGTAGCTATGAGATCTGAACCAGCATGTTTTCTCCCAATCTCTGGAATCTGCCTTCCTACTTGGAGCTTCAGTTTTAGCTTTCTTGTGAAACCTTTAGCTGGTTTCATAGATGATCAGCACACAGCCACACAGACAACCTTTTCGGGCACAGGTCTTCACATTTCTTTAATCCCAAAGAGAACGCTGTGCTCTGTTGTGAGCAGTGCAACTAAGTCAGTTTTCCATTGAGATCTTGAAGGGACTGTGCTGTTTTTCTTTTGATGCAGTTTTATTCTGGTTTATGTGCCAATGAAACGTCCCCGTTTCCCCCCAAAAACGTTTATAAGAACACAGCAATTCCCACGTGACATGGTTACCTCTTTACTGTTTGATATATGTCAAAATCTGTTTCATTAGTTGTGGGGTAAGGTGCTCATGAATACCTATTAATTTTTAATTGTTCCTGAGGTTATGAAGGGTATCATCCAGATCGGCGATTACTCATCTGCCTTTAATCTTCTCATGGCTTCTATTTTTCATAATTCATTAAAAGCATTATGATGTGCTTCGGTTTAACTAGCTGGCTCTCCTGGATTGAGCTCAGCGTTTAGTATGCATGGAGACTTACCACTTGTTACATCCCGGGTTTTAGGTCAGGAGAACGGCTCAGTGTGAAGTGGGATTAGGGAGTATTTTAGTATCTTTATTCTTTGATGTCCTGCTAGCACGAGGCTAAAAAAAAATTCTTCAATTCTCAGCATGCACAGACATGGGGAGAGGAAGCAAAGGAAATGGGAATGTGAGCATGAGTTTAGTCAATATATTTTTGGATGCTAGGCTCTACAGGAAATTGCCCTGTTTAACGGCTGTCAGAGCAGCTCTATGCCTATCGCCCCTTGCTCCTCGTAATAAAAGCATGTCACTATGGACCTTACCTTGTCATGGGGGGGCGATTGCAGAATTTGTGGACGTGCAGTCAGTATATTACTTCAGATAATGTACATGTGCAAAAACTAGATCAATATCATTTATCGTCACNCAAATTGGGCATATTCAGGATTTAGCGGGAACACCAACATGCAGAAGCCTTATCTGACGGTTCAAAATGAAACTTTTACTCATATATTGTTTAGATCAGCTTGAATTGTGATTGACGGAGATTTATTTCAAGGCAAAATCATATCAGTGTTTCTCTCTGACTTTTGAGAAAATAATTTAGGTGTTTTTCTTATACAAGCATTTCAAGCTTTTGCACCAGACTTGGCTTAACACTGGAACTTAACACTGGAGCATGTTAAAATAGCTGCAAACAGATGAGTAATTATACAAACGTACATCTTTGGAAAGTAGAGGTGGAGCCTCCTGCACAACCAACAAGAATAGAGCAAGTTCTTTTTGGATGGTAAGTCAACAACAAAACACTTGTCTTTTCCAGCAACCACTATACGGCTGACCAAACATGCTGGAGTTCAGCTTGAGTTGCTAGGTAACAGCGCAGTACCCGTCCGTTGTGACTTAACAAAAAACATTCACATTTTTGCCAAAAATGTGAATGTTGAATGTTTTTCAAGAGCTTGGACTGTTTTTAGAAGCAGTTGAAAACCAAATGGAGGAAGAAAAACATAGGAAAAGTGAATCTTGCATAATAGGCCCCTTTTAAGGAACTGCTTCAAAGAAAAGCTCCACTGACATGCTTTTAAGAGAGTAATTTTTCTAAAATAGGCATTAAGAAGGGTAATACATTTTAGGAATATCCTACTAATTGCTTTCTAAATAATAAGCAAATCTAGGAACCAAAGATGCATCTTTCCTCTCGTCTCTTTCACCTTCTCTCCTGGAGGAGTTCGGGTACAACTCAGGGATACGAGTTAGACCAATGAGAAAACACATCAGCATAATTACAACTTTGTGACTGTCTTTGTCTGAGTTTCTGCTTCCTTTTCACTCTGAGCTCCCGCTGCTTCACGTCGGACGTTCATTGACATCAGCAGTTTGAAGCCCGTCTCTCCTCCTAGTCTTTGCCAGATCTGCATACCTAGGCCAAATTTGTTTCCATCACTTTGTTGTCTTCTGCTGACATTATGTCTCCTCGTTTTTTTTCCTACTCGGTCGGCCTGCCAGCGTGCCTGTCTGACTGCCAGGCGTCTGCCATCTAATCTGATGTCCAGAGAGTCTCTATAGGGCCTGTCTGCTCACTCCCTGCTGCCATTTCCAACTCTGATCCCACCTGTTCAGCCTGCAGTCACTCTCAACAATTTGATGCATAACATTTAACGTGACGCTAAGATTGAAACCAAGCTACTATGAGGCAGTTGGGTTACAACACATGAACTTGCAGAACAGGTTGTCAGATCTTGATGACTTTCTAAGCTTTTTTCTTCATTAAAACAACTTTCTTCTTGTAATTTTATGATGTTATTGACGTAATTAAAAATGTATTCTGGCCCCAATACGCTGTCATACTTGCCCCTGCTGCCGTTTTTCCTGTTCATTCTCCTTTTCTCTCCTCCTCCATCAGCTCCACTGTTCCTGTGTACGCCAATTATTCTACTGGGCAGCTTGTTGATTAATTTGAGCACTGCTGCCACCTAGTGACCGGAGGCCTGTTTCTCAGTCAAACATGAACAAAGACAATAATAAAGAGCTCCTGCCTCTGATGCATCTTGCAGTCCTGGTTTGGGATTTCTTGCGGGTTGGTCTAGCCAAATCTTCTAGGCAAAATGTTTCTCTTCTCATGTCTGAAAACTATTCTACACAAATGCTGCAGAGCAATGAAACTATGAAATCTTCACAAGAGTGGAGAGAAAAGCATAAAAAGACCTGACCAGAAAGAACTTGCCCCTTGTTCCTATCAGCTCAAGTTAAATATTTCTCCATTCTTGTATCATCAGGCTTTTAGATTTGCCCAAATAATCATCATTATTACACTTTCCAAGAACTCTGATGCCAGGTTATTGGTCTAGCAAGTCCACAAAAAAACTAAACACAGGACAATAATTTATTTTACCAGATAATTTCCTCCCCTCCCCCCAAAAAATGACTGTATATTAACAAAAAAGAGCAAACATCCAACAAACTGATGAAAAAACCTCACAGTGATAATCTGAAGGAGCTCGGGAGGGAGATGGCGTTAGGTCGATCGGGGAGGCTGGTTGGATCAGAACTAAGGATTGATTTAATGGAAACGGGTTGAGATCGGAGCTTAACTCAGCAGCTTACCTTTTTGTACCTGGGAACAGGAAGCTTTATTCCATCAAACATAAACCACCAACACAAATAGATGCAATGAGAGCATGCAAAAGAAAAGAAGGAAAACAGATGAGATAAAAACTGAAACAGTTCAAAGTGAAAAGATTAGAGTTGCAGTGAGTGAATTAAGACAAAAGGTTTTAAAAAGTTCTGCCAACAAAAACAATAAAAGGACAGACATTTGTATCCACAGATTGAAACATTGTTTACAACAGCCTGCTTGGTCTCATTAATCCATCCATCCATCCATCCATTTTCTATACACCCTTGCTCCTTAGTGGGAGGGCCTATCTCCAGCTAACGTTACGGGCGAGAGGCGGGGTCACCCTGGACAGGTCGCCAGTCTGTCGCAGGGCAACACAGAGACAAACTGGTCTCATTAATATTTCAAAATGTTCTTAAATCATTGGATTATCATCATTTCCAGTGAAACTGCTGGTTTATTTTTATGGCATTTCTCTCATACCTTGATAGTGCTGGAGTCTATTGCTAGAAGATTTTCTATGTTCAACCTGCATTATGCTAAACAAGAACTAGGGTTCTTGTCAAACATTTTCCATCTGGTTTTTAAACCTTTTGAACCTTGATTTTCTTCAAAAATAGAGTAGAAGACTCTGTGTCTGATCTGGACACCGCAGACTAAAACATTAGTTAGCGGTGTCCACTACTGTCTTCTGTCTAACTCTTAACATTAGTTAGTTAGGGGAAGCTAATGCTAAGGCGCTAACTTCAGCCATGTTGATACTCACCATATGCCAATCTATTATAGAAGCTGTTACAACATAGTATATCGCCCTCAGCAGGCCCAAGTTTGTCCTTACACACCGACCTACCTGGTTTCTGCTTCAGGGAGTGGTTCTTTGGACCAGACCTGCCACTCTATGAAACTGGGTTCAGTTTTATTGTTTTGCTGATTTTGGCTAATTGACCATAGTAGAGCTTATTGAGAAAGCATAAAAGACACCATCCAGTGGGGATGGATGGATGGATGTATGATGGATGAACAGACAGATGGATGAATGAACAAATAAAACTATATTTGTAGTCATTTTAGCTCCATCAGGAACTCTTTGCTTTGATCTAAACTCTGTGTCTGATCTACCAGCTGATTCGGGAACCTGACGGAGATCCGCCTGATCTCATCTATCGGACTTCTGGCTCAACAGAACCAGCGTTAACGGCTCAGGGAGGAAATCACAATTGATTCTGCTGCGGCTCAGCTGTAGCTCCTCGCTTCATCCTCTCTGCTCTGTTAGACATTTCATCAATATTCAGAGCTAAACTGTGACAACTCCAAAAGAAGTTAAAACCTTCTGCATCATACAAGTAAAAAAACTACAATAAACTACCTTTTAAAATCATTTTTAATGTAAAGTGGTAAGAACAAAAAAAAAAAAAAAAAAAACAGATACAAAGACGTTGAATGGAAAAGATGTAAAACTTCTGTAAGAAGCCGAGCCAGAGGATGTTTTTTAGATGTGGGCGTAGCAGGCGATAAAAGGCCAGATGGAAAGCAATGAAAGAGTTTTTGTTAGTAAAGGTTGTAGAGTGGGTGGTGCTGAGCAGACAGGTCGCCATCTTGTAATCAAACTGTCGGAGGATCTTTGATTCACAGACAGGGGATAGATTTACTCAGCTTGGAAAAGAAAAGGATTAGGCCAGAGGTTCCCAAACTGTGGGGCGCGCCCCCCTGGGGGGGGGCCGGGGTCTTGCCGGGGGGGGGGGGGGGGGGTGGGAAACGGCGCGGTAAAAAAAAAAAAAAAAAAAAAAAAAAAAAAACATGAACACTGTATGCGTTGGGTTTTTACCTTAGAATGGCCAACTCTCTGTTATTCCTATGTCAATTTGATACAGTAGAGGCTTCCACACTTCCCATGTTTGTGTCCTCTGTCACTTTTATCCGCAGTTAAAACTGTTTAATCCGTTGTTAACATGTTGTAACCTGTAGAAAATGTTTGGAAACCACTGGATTAGGCTAACCCACCCCAACTTTATTAGGATAGTGATTTAAACCAACATTAATCCACAGTTAACGGGTAGGAAGAAAATCATCTACTTGTCCTCTTTTGTTTTAGGGATGATTACTGATCTGCTGATCAGACAAAAATAGCGGAGCAAGGAAATTAAGACTTTTAGGGTGGGAATCTTTGACTCTCATCAATCAGCACCGAAATATATTAAAGATCTGCTGTTGTTGTTATCACCTTTCCAGATAGAGGTGGGCAATATTTAAAGAAAAAAATTACATCACAATATATATTTTTTTAGATACTTCCCATAACAATATTTTTGGTAGTTTTTTTTTTTTTTTTTTTTTGATTTGGCCAAACAAATATCTTTTTACTTTCTTTAATAAAATGTGTCAAAGAAAATACAACAATAATATTTAATAAGAGAAAACTTCAAAAAGTAAAAGACTGTGCTCACTTACTTTATCAGAAACTTCATGTTCCCTCAAATGTAATCACACAAAAAGTGGAACATTGACCAGCATATCTGATGTGTACTGATGATTTAAACAGCGGCACTTGCTGGTTTTCACAATTGCTGACTCTATGATGTGTTGTTTATGTTTTTATGTTGTCATTGCCTTGTTGCTGAAATGTTCTTTACAAATAAACTTGATTGATTGTCTGATAATGATTCGATTTGATTTTTGGGGCGTTGATTCAAACACTCATTGATTTTTTTTCTTTGTTATTTAGTTTACAATTGTCCGATATCTTCATAATTCTTCACCTCGTTGGATAAACACGTCAAATAAATGTTCTGTAATCATGTCACCTGCAGACACAAAAACCAAATAATGGAAGCAGACTAGTTGAAATGAAATGTCAACATTGCTGTCTGAGAGGATTTCTCCATAAAAGATGGCCACAAACTTCTGACCAATCACACAGCTCCGTATGGCATTGTTTCATTTTGCGAACCTTGCAGATGGTGAAGTTTATGTCAAGCTAGATCTTCCCGGGAATTCAGAGGAATTTTAAAATCAAATCTGAAACAAACCAAAGGTCAGAAAACCAAGGTATCAGTTAGTCAACGACCAGCTCAGCTACAAATGAGTCACCGATGTTCGTCTAAACAAGTTGCAATAAACTGATGGATTAACATCTCAAAGTGATGAAAGGAAAGAAACAATTTAGCTTTTGTACGTTGACATAAACTGGACTTGACCACTGAGAATCAAAACTGAGGATTGCTGTCATACACTAAAGGATGTTTGTTGCACCAGGTTTTAATGGAAACACCAACTGTGGACCCAGACATCATAAACACAACCTTCTTTTTATTGAAGAACAAAAAGTCATGTACATCCAAACATTGATTTCTGAAATTCAATCGAGAAGCGCCAAATATGAAGAGGAAAAAAACAATTCTACTATAGTTTTTTCAACTGTACATTTGAATTGAATTCAGTACATTTAATGCCTCATTTTCACTTAGTGGTATTGAACTAATATCCAGACTTTAAAATTCTCCCTGGAGCCTGAACTGAAACATTTGGTTTCTTTTTTATTTCCATCATTACTCAGTTTGCTCCTGGGATGGATTTTTTTAGGGCAGCTGGTAATGGGTAAATTCAGTCATTTCAAATCTGTGCCAGTTGTGTGTTAATTTTTTTTCCACATTGCAGAGTCTTCTTTAAGACTATTAGCTTTATTAAAACCTGAAAACTTGAGGATCTTCGGCTGCTTTTCTGGAGACCTGGGGAAGTAAAGCCACCTCTAGACCAGATCAAGAAGTCTGTTATTTCAGTAGTTCCATTCTACAAGGAAATCTACAGAACACAGATTTATTAGATGGAAATTAATGTAATTAAAATATTTAAATTCTGTTAATGTAGACGATTTTAGCTTACAGATAAGGAAAACCCAAATATGAGTTTCTTAGAAATGTCAAATATTAAATCACACTCAAGAAATATTTTCTTATGTTCATTGTACAGATCTGGATTCAGCGCCTGGTTGGGTCTCATTTTGCATGAATTTCTGTTCTACTTCATTCTGAAGTGTTCTGGAAGTCCAGGTTGCTGTGATAACGGCCTTCAGGTTGTTTGCAATGTTGGTTCTGGTGTCTCTCATCTTCCTCTTTATGATAGTCAATAGGTTTTTTATGGGGTTAAAGGTCAGACCAGTTTTCAAAGTTCATTGGAACCTTTCACCAACTTTCAGGTTTTCATGATCATTTAGAGTGCAAACGATAACTTTTTATTGATCTCATGTAATATTCGCAGTAGTTGTTTCTTATACAACCAATGTGGGCAGTTACCCAGGATGGCTTCTGCTCTAGGGTGACGTGATCTGTCACACTAAGTAAACAGTTTTTGCAGTGGAATCTTTAGCTTATTTCCTTGATTGAAAATTGATTAGTTAACAAAGAGTGGGACTTTTTATAACAGTTTTGCAAATTAATTTTTGTGTTTCTTGAAGTGTATCTTATTAAAACATTTTTTTTAGACATTCCTCGACTGTGGTGCGGTGAAATTTGTGCTTTGATCAAAATGCAACTGAAGAACACATTTCATAAATGTTTCACTGATGGAGTAATTTATTTTAAATTGTATTTTCTACAGTATTTTTTGTATTTCTATTGTGTCTTATTATTCTAGCTTCTGCCACATTTTTCAAATAAAATATTAACAGAAATTGAGTGTGACTGTGGTTGCACATGATAATCGAAATGATGTCACGGTGGTGGACGTTGTCCCAGGGCACCAAACAGACTAGGACCGCCCTTATGATGACAATCATCAAACTTAGCAGAAATGACTGTTTGCATCTAATGAATCTGGACCACTTTCCCTTTTTGAACTGAGCTACATTAACTTTATGATGATATTTTAATTTATTTGGATGCAGACATCAATAACTTTGTTTTTAAGACCAGATCTGACTGCTGATTTAATTTATCAATTTACTGAATTAACATCAACAGTTTTTCCAAAAACCCATAAATTTGGTCAGAAATTATATAAATGTGAACAAACTCATGGCTCAAGAAAACATGTGTATTGTTTTAGAAGTTTGTGTCTCAGCAGCAGATCGTCACAATGGCTGTGGCCAGCGACTATCACAGTACGAAGTGGCAAGTTTGCTGGCAAGCCTGAAGACATTATTCTCGGGAAACTGTAGGGAAATGACAGCTGTTCCTGACTGAACACCAAACTGTGGGACAGATGGACAGACAGGCTATCAGATGGACTAATGTCACCATCCTGAGACCATAACAGTAAGAGGACAAAAGAAGAGACCTGCTTTTCTAAATCAATGTGTCGCTTATGTTTTAGTGGCAGGCGGCAAGAAAATCTAAGACGATCAGATGGGAAGTCAAAGACCTCCAGTCAGGAGAGACTGGATGCCAACAGGAACATCCAGTTAGAAGTTCAGGAAGTTGTTAAAATGTGTATTTCCTTTGAAAAAGGTTTAAGAGCAACAGTTTGTACGAAGGTGAGAGGAGAAGGAGCTGCTCCTCCAGTCAGGCTTCCTGCAGGGAGAAGTTCACTGGAAAATTACAGCCGAGTGTTGAAGCATGTCTGATTTTGGACGCAGTTTACTCAATAACGTTGCTTTTTCTTGTAATGGCAACTTAATATTTTTTAGCTAGCAGTAAAAGAATATTTTAAATACTCAATACCAAAAAGGCCAGATAGTTCACTGAACTACAAAAAAAAAAAAGATATACTTTTAAAATATTACCTTATTGTTTTATTTTTGGTAGTAGTCTTTACACTGCAATAAAACAGCCTTCATATGTAAATTCTTCTGAAATTCTTCTATGAATTTAGAAGAATATTTCCTGATCCAAACAGAGTCTGAGAATTCATCAGAATCTATTAGCTGAATAAATGGTTAACTGAGTTTTACTCAGTTACTGGTTTTATTGGAGCAACAGTCGGTTTGGCAGCAAAAGGAACCAGCGGTTAGAAAGCCCAATAATGGGTTTAGCAAACTAATTACACAGTGGGGACGGCCACATAGCAGAATATATGAAAGAGTAAATTCATTTTCAGTGCTTGGCTAGGCAGCAGCTGAAGTCTATCTGCAGAGCAGTATAGAAAATAACAACCATAAATCAATGTGGCCTTCTGCCCACTCTGCTGTCCAACAGCGCTGCCAAGAACGGCTCCTCTGAAGCCCGGTTTCCTCCAAACCGACTATTCACTAACACAAAAAGAGTTAGAGTTGCTGACGGCAGCGGCAGCCATCAGAAACATCACTTCATCACAGTAAAAAGGAAAGAGAGAGCCTTTTCTCTCCGGTATATTATAGAAAAATGAAGTTTTTTTTTCTTTGTTAAAGCATCTTTATTACTGAACCTGTCCAGTGAGCTGGTTCATTACAATCACCACCGTAAGGATTATTTAGCAAAGGGAAGTTTGGCTTTGGAGCTAATGTTTCTGTAGTGGAACTGATGCTGTGATTTTGCTCTCATAATTGCAGCGTCAGTTTAATGAAAATGAGAAAGAAAAAAATCTGTGCCAGAAAAAAATAATAGACAGAAAATGATGAAACAAGACTCGACACTGTTAATGAAGGAAAAGTCTACAAGAGCAGAAGAGATGGTTTTAATTATCTGACACTGTGAAATGTTAGAGAAGAACGTTAAGAGTTATATATTCTTCTGAAAGTATACAACTAGTTAAGATTGGTAAGGCAAGGTAATTTTATTTATATAGCATTTTTTCAGCAACAAGGTAATTCAAAGTGCCTGGAATTGCAATATACTTATACATGTCTTTATACAATAGATCAGCATCCAGATGGTCTCTGAAACTTTAATTAAAACAATGTTATATCTATGCTGTGCCACTAGGTGGTGATAACATCAAAAGGAATAACTTGAGCTTGGCTAAAGCAGTGCCAGGTTTAAAGGTGTTTCCATGCCTGCAGACTCTGAACTGTTTTAAACAAACCAAACCCCTTGAGCCCACCTGTGGTGCCGCTGCGCCAAGAACCACCGAAGGAAACGACACAAAATCTCTGAAGAAGACACAGAATGCAACTTCCTTCTAGATTAAATGTAAACAAAAATAGAGTGGTGTCGGATTTTAGCAGTTGTAGGATTTCTCTTTTGTCTTTGCTAAAAGACAACCAATCATTTCTTCAGATAGCGCTAAACATGTACGTTTGTTTTGGTTGTATTTACCCAGAATGCCCTTCTCTGTAGTCCACTTTCTGCTTTTGGTCTCCAGTTCACTTGGCGTTCACATATGCATTCAAATTGCACCAGAGTTGACTTCAACCGAACCCAGACTGAGGTTTTTAGTTGGAGCAGAGTTCACTATTTTGGTCCGTAACAGATTTGATTACACATTCACACCTCCCCAAAAGAACCGGACTTTCTAGGCAAATGGAGTGGACAGAACAGGTCAACTAGATTTTTCATTAATATGTAGTAGAGTTGAGTGGAGAGTACAGCAGAAGATTAAAGGCAGATGTAAATGGATAGAAAAGTGGATGGACAAAAATATGGATGGATGGATGTTTTTGGTCAAAGACTGAAGGAGAAACTGAGCCAGACATTGTGTAATAGTCTGCTAATATTCTGGTTTCAGGTTTAACAAAGGTATATTTAAAAATAATGTTGAAAGTGAATAAAAAAAATACATTACTGCTGCTAAAATGTTATGTTGCCTATGACATTTTTAGTTAAGAACAGAGTTGCTTCATATTCTTCATAAAAGTTTAATCTAGTTCAGTCACAGTCAGGTGACATTTAAATCAGTGTGAACCAAGAAGGTAATTTAAGAGATTTAGTAAAAGATGCAGCAAAATATGAAAATAACATCCCCATAATTTTAACAGAAGCAAACTCCTCATTAGAGAGAAAATTTAAATCGCCTCAAGATTTTTTTTTTTATGATTTTTTTTTTCTTTTTTACATTTTCTGAAATTTCTGACGTTTCCAGACTTATTAGGATTCCTGGGAGCTGCTGGTGTTCCAGTAAATGTCTTCATTACCGCGTTTTATGACAACAACACAGAAACTATGAAAATTATTCTAGTGTTTTTAGTAGGGTTGGTAAATATGGGACGTGTAAAACAGCTTTCACAATGTTAGTTAGCCAGGTGGAGGGCAAATAGTTATCTAAACATTTGGAAAATATTCTAAAAACCACCAGTTTATATAAATCTTTATTTTCTGACTGATGTTTTATTGCAGTAAAATTCATTTCTTTCACACTTGGGACACCAAAAAGATCAACATGAAGATGCTGAAGGCTCACCTTGGCTTTGTTGATGTTGCAGTGAAGCGCATTGTTCTCCTGGTCATACTGCAAACTGAACTCCAACGTTCCCAGAGTGGCTGAAAGAACATGAGGCGACAAGAAGACATTAGGAGAAACTAGATGTTGAAAGGAAAACTTCATGGCTTGTGTTGAAATATTGACTACAGAAAATCTCCCTTTCAAGTCGTAACTGGGGGTAGTTGGAGATGAGCTCACTTTCCCATTGGGAAGTCCAAATTCCAGCTGATTGTTCCTACTGGGAAGTTGGAATTCCAAGTTCCGAGTACAAATGGAACGCATCGTTATGTAATGTATGTGGTTTGGGCCCATCAGCTGCTACAGCCAGCTGGATTTGGACTTCCTCCAGCACCAGCAGCTCTGTTTCCATTGGAATTGTGCAAACTGGAATTCCGAGAATAAATTTGCTTAATGGAAACACAATGATTTAAAAAAGCATTTATTCATAAAAAAGATTATGCACTAGGATGAGGTGGTGTTTTGGCTGTAATTAAAGTCTTTTGGAAACACTTTTTTTTGCATCACACGAGTCACATGGATCAACAACCGGATGTTACTGCTGGTGGAAAAGATGAAGAAGAAAACAGGAAGTGGTAGAAGGATGCATGTTTTTTTTTATCACTAATGGAGTGAGCAAACTTACTCATGTCCGATTTTAAATGCGTTTCTTTTTAATGGGAAGGTCGTAATGGTGAAATTGTGTTTTTTTCAACATTAGCAAAATATCAACAAAGTTTCGTAATGGAACTTGTCTTGATTACTCAAGAGTACTTAAATCCCATTCAATGCTGGATTATCATCTAAACTTATCTAGATGTGTATGTTTTTGTTGAAAACAGCTTGGGAAGCCTTTTCAAACTTGACTTGACCCAGTATGAACTATTCAACAATAACAACTCATTTCTAGTTGGTAGATGCCCGTTTTGGATGATCTGCATCCTGTTTGTGTTGCGTGTTTCTTGTTTCCAACATTTTAACAGCAGCCATAAAAAGATGTGCCGGTTAATAACGACTCGCTGCGCCACTGGGTGGAAACCCTCTGTTTCATTCACACTTTGTTATAAATATATATGAGCTGTAAACAACTTTAGTTTGTATGAATCTGTGATGGTGCTTGCAGATACCAACACCTCCCACATGTTTTACCTCCTTAAAGTCTGAGCTGTGTAATGTGGGATGGATCAGGGCTCAGGCTTTGTTTTACATAAAGTAGAGAGAGTTTAGCATCATTACCGAAACTTTATTTGAAAAATAAAGATGTTGCTCATTTGTGCAAGTGAATCCACTTAGTGGAATCAAAGTCCTCCTAAACCAAGTTGCAGATAGATCTCCATCAGTTTTACTTTGTATCGATAGCTGGTTAGCTTCCAAAGCATCCAACTCTAAAAGATTTAAGATTAATTTGTGATTAAAGTGCTCCTGAGTCCATTAAAACCCAGTGAATCGATGTTGCGCCTGGAAAAAGCTGAGCTCAACACAGGCGCAAACAGAACCACAAAAACAAAAAGATTTACTTATTTTGTTTCCAGATAGAATGAAACATTTCATGGAGTCTGGAAACTCTTAACTATATATGAGCATATATGGTTTCATCTGTAAATAATGTTTTACAACTTTAAGTTTTTGAATCAAATGTTAAATTGTACTTTAATACAAATCAATTACTTTAAAGGACTTTACAGAAATCAAACACTTTCCAAACCTTGAAAACATCTAATTGAGACAATTGGGGGGAGGATTTAATAAGTTGTGGCCTCAGACTTTTTTGAACAGAATATGAAGGTTGTTTTTTTATGTTTATTGTTATTATATATATATACATATATAACTACACTTCCTTCTTGCAGCAGCCTAATTTACGCGACTCGGAAAGGTGGAAGCCTTGTCTGATTCAGTTCAAGTAGCTACTTAACTGCATTGGAAGCAATAATTAACCAATTTAAGTGAAAAGAGTGAATCATAACATAACTGCTGCTAAAGGAAGGAACAAGTGAACGTAATAATTACTTCCAGCCGAGTCTTTTATTTCAAGGTTATGAGTCATTCGAAAGGAAATTGACTTGAAATTTGCGTTTCCTGGCAAGCCGATTCTTTCGTTTTCACATCAGAGAGAAACACAATAATTCAGAATGAAGACAGAACAATGTCTGTAACCGCAGACATTGTGGAAATAATAGGAACTGGCTGTTTTCCAGTGAGAGGAGTTAAAATGTTTACAACATAATCATTTCTCCAACAAAATATTGCTTTTTTTCCCCTGCTGTGTGAAATGATTTGTGTTCTGGGGGAAGACTCCACTTGAAGCGCCATTTTTATTTTCTAACAGAAACATCTGCTGAAAGGTCAGAGAAAAGTTAAACATCAGTTGCGAACAAAAAGGCTGAGTTTGACCCCCATTGGAACATTTAATTTATTGTGTTTTATAATAACGTCGTAAAAGTGAAGCCACATTCTTTACGAGCTCTCAGTGTAAATCTAACTGTCGTCTGTTGCTGTTTATTAAGCTATAAAGTAAAAGGGACGTTTGATCTGAAATGGTTCACTCCATTTCTTCCATCAGGATCCATTAACCCACAAACACACCGAGCGAGCGTTCATGTGGGCAAACCTCAAGGCACATTAACCTGAGCAAATCTCATGGCGAAGCTCTGCCTCGTAGCAAAAACACGCAGGAGTCACCGACGAACAGATGAACAGAGATGGAGAGAAAAACTTATCTGAACGATGAGAGATGAGAAAAGAAAACCTACTGAGTGGTTTCTACCTTCACCCAGTATGGAGGGATGTTTGAGGGAAATATACAACCTACAAGAGGAAGGAAGGAAGAAAAGAAGGAGAACAGGAAGAAAGGACTGATGGAAATAAATAGGAATGAAGAACTGAGGGAAGGAAAGAGGATATAATGACAGAAAGAACTGGAAAGATGGAAATAAGAAAGGGAGAAATTAAGGAAAGAAGACAAGAAAGAAGACAAGAAAGAAAGGAAGAAAGAAAGAAAGAAAGAAAGAAAGATGAATCTAAGAAATAATAATGAAGGAAAGAGATATGAAAGGAAGTGAGAAAATGAGGGAAAGAAAAGAGACAAAGAAATGGTGAAAGGAACAAAGTGGAAGGAAGGAAATAAGAAAGGAATATTCAAAGGACTGACTGCTCTTTATGAGAAGACAAACATCTTTATTCAGAGTTCAGTCTCCATCTAAAGGCTCCAGATCCATCATTAAATCCAAAGTAACCATTGAAAGACTTTCAGCTTTTCTTGGGGAAGCCGGTTCTGTAGCAGTGAGCTAAATCTAAAGACATTTAAACATGCCTCTTGGTTCCATGCAGCCTGTAAAGCGTTGTGACAGCTGATGTGACGAGCAGCATGTTGTTGGTGTCAGAGGGCCTTTATGATCTGCTGTCTGTGTGTGTGTGTGCGTGTGTGTGTAATGTTAATAGAGCCGATGACAGAGACGCGTCCGACAGGAACAGCAGCATTTCTGACTGATGGCTCCTGTCAGAGCTACGAGTCGCACCGCACCGGCTCTATTACTCCCCTTCAGGCCAAACCGGCACTGAGTGCTGCTGACCGACTGGTCACCTCCCTGTCCATGTTTCTGTTGGAAAACAAGGACTTTCTCTGTACAGGGACAAACACATTACAATCTAATTATTGGCTTGATGGTGGCAGAGGGAAATGTAGGTTTTTATTCTAAAGCAAATGAGAAAATCCAGTCAGTTCAGAGGCTGGTGTGAGAAGAGGACATAATGAGAACAGTCTGGGAAAATTACTACCAGTCTTTATTTTCAGGTAGGACTGATGGGCAATTAGACCATTTAGAAATCAAACTGCAGAAGCTGTTCTAAGAAAAATGAATTTTGTGAAAGTAGGTCATCACATCAAATCTTTTGGTTTATCAGTGAAAGTAACTCTTAGCCGTTTTCACACCTGACAGGCCAAGTAGACTTGGTTTGATTGGGGATCAAAGCCACAACATTTGTTACACTTTCAGCTGCTGCGGTTCACTGAGTCAAACCAACCAAACTAATTGAAAAACCTGTTCCCTTCCTTGCCTGTGGTGGCGCTCTTCCAAGATCCACAGAGGGAAAAGACAAGAAAACCTCTGAGTAAGACATGAGGGTAACTTCCTTATTCGCACAATGTTAACAAAAATGGTGCGTTGTCAGATTTTAGAGGTTGTAGGATTTCTCTTTGTGGAGTGATTTCTTCTGCTAGCACTAGAGTAGCCCCATTGTTTTGGTTGTATTTACCCAGAATGCCCTGCCGAGCATAGGTTTGTAGGCAGATTAGTTTTAGCATTTTTCAGAGTTTGATTAAGCATTCACACTTCCTGAAACAAACCGGACTTTCTAGGCAAATGGACTGGAGTTCGATTAAAGCGGACTGAAGGTGTTAATGCCCAGTTAAAACTAGGAAAACATCCATACATTGAACCATAAATGGACGGCTCTCTGTATGGACGGATGGTTGGGTCAATGAGTCAATGGATGTAGGAGTCAACAGATGGATGAAAGGTTGGGTCAGTAGATGGATGAATATACAGAATAAATAAAACTTTATTGATCCCAGTATCTATTCATCTTCCAGTCCAGCTTCAGGCCTCATTAGATTTCAACCAGCAACATTTCACTGGGGAAGTGTCCGGGTCTCGTCCGAGCGTCACTTCTATTTGACCTTTTATCTATGAAGAATCAGACACTCTAATCCGAATCCCTGCCAAATAACGGGGGTCGTGACCCCATCATCGTCTAGAAGACACTAATTTCTTCTGATCAAGACAAAAATGACAAGAGTTACCCTCATCTGACCCTCACAGAATATCAAACCCATAAAATTCATTCACAGCACAACTTTAGGCACTCGTTAGCATTTGCGCGTATTTATCTGTGTCCCAGTAAATGGCAAATATTTGTTTTGGATGTTTTTACAGTAAAAATGTCAATCCTACATAAACTGATTGAATCTGACAGTGGCTCGGAAAGCACGAAGAACTTCCACAAAGCAGGTTGTGTTACTGTACACCAGTCAAACGAACACATTGCCCAAGTGTTAATTTGT